TGGCCTCCCCCAGCCGGCTCCAAGCTGGGTGCCTGGCTTCCTTCGCTCTCCCGCCCTTCAGGAGCATACCGGGTCCCACAGCCTCCTGGAGCCTGGACTCCCTCAGGTTTGGGGTTTCGTGATGACATGGTGTGCCTCGCCACCCCCGGTGCCAGCAACAGTGCCTGGCCCGTCGCAGGTGCTCAGGTGTTTGCTGAATGTTCGAGACCATAACCCCAGGTGAAGACCAAGCGGGGCGGGCGGAGGCGGTTCTCGAGTGAGCACCACCTTCACCTTGGTTTCTGATTTTAGGTGGATTGTAAATGGTTTGGGACATAGCAGACTGGATGTCCCATAAACTAACTTGAGGTCTAGGGTAATTCTATTTGACCAAAGACTTAAAGGAACTAGTCTACTGGGAAATAAATATGATTTCCCAGAAAGCCCAAGCTTTATCAGACTGACTTACATCTTGGACTTTCCTTCCACAAGGAATCAGGAAGATGGACTTTGGTCTTCACCATGCAGTGCGATCTCACCTCCCTGACAGACGCCACCTTGACAATGGGACCTCCCAAGGCAGAGGCCAAGACACCTCCATCCCGCAAATCTCTCCCAGGCTTCCCCCCCCCTCGCCTTTCATCTCGGCTCAGAAGGTATCGAAGGTGGCTGACAAAGAGCAAGGCGAACTCAACCCTCGGAATGTGGAGTCCGAGTGGAGCAGCCAAACCCGACAGGGCCCGGGACCCTGTGTGTCAGCCCCCAGGCGGGGTGTCCGTGGGGCTCACACTGGCGCTGCCCTGAAGTGCTGAGGGGATACCTGGGGCCCCTCCCCCCCAGCACACATGCAACACCAGGCCTGGGACGTGTCTTTATTACAGATGCAAGCAAGCACAGAAGTCTCATGTCCATACAGCACTGAAATAGAAAAATGGAAAAGAATCGCCACAGAAGCATCCCTCCCGGGTGTGCGGAAAGGGGCTGCCAAGCCCGCCATGCGACGCCACGCGCCACGGGCCCGGCCGCAGCTGCTCGCCTTCGCACAGCAAACGCCTTTCCAAAGACGCGACAGAACAGACCCCTCACAGCCGAGCCCCCCGTCTCTCAGGGCTCCCCCCAGCCACGGAAACACCCGAGGCCACGCCAGTCCCACCACGGTGACAACTCGCATACAGGCTGCTCACCTGGCCCCTCTCCGCTTCTCCAGCCAGGTGTGGGCCAGAAAATGAAGCAGGTGGTGGGGCGGGGGGAGTAAAGACACCGCCTCTGTTCCCCCAGGTACACTGAGGGCCGGGGCAGAGACAAGGGCAGGTTGCCAGCGGGGTCCGAGTGGGACGGCGTGAAACCTGCAGCACGGTCCTCCCCTGGCCGAGCGCCCCAGGCGGGCACGAACCTGAACGCCAGGGCGAGACCAGGAGCTCCGGAAATTCACAGGCAGGGTTCGGCTGCAGGGACCCAGACTGTGGCGAGACCTCAGATCCGAGCGGGGTCTCCAGGGCAGACTGGCCGCCTGCTGGGACTCCATCTGCTGGCCCAGGGCAGGCTTCCTCCCAGGCTGTCCTGCTGGGTCCTCGTAGCGGTAGCGACAGTCTCTGCAGAGGGGCATCCCCTCTGAAAACAGCGCGGTGCACAGTTCCTGCTTCACGTCAAGGTTACAGAGAACCGCACGCCATCGGAAGAGACGGTCTCCCCACCCCGCCCCAGCTCATCCTCGCCCTCCTCTCAGGCCCAGGCGAGAGCTGGGTGGCTGCGCCCCACAGAAGAAAGCTACAAAAATAAGGAGTCGACCTGAGATCTTTCTACCTTTCGGGTGTGGCTCGCTCCCGAGTCCCCTGGGAAATGAACTTTTATTTGGTTTATACTGACATTTATTTAGATTTCCAGTGAAAAGCTCTATAAAATACAATAAATAATGTGGGGCTGTAAAAGGCAAGCGTTCTAGTTGCATATGTCACAGACTCTACACTCGTGGCTCCGGCCATCGGCTCGGGGATCCTGTGTTTGCATCAGACACGTATAGACTTCAGACCCCAAGGGCGGGACAGCTGCTCCCCCTCCTGTGTCCCGCTCCCCTGCACTGCCCTCCTGTGTCCACGCCGTGTCCGGAGCCTGTCCAGCGAGTAACGGATGCGTGTGCGGGACTCGTAGCTAGTGGTGCCTGGGGGCCGTGAGCATGCAGGGTTGCTGTGGCTGCGATTACAAGTAAAAGTCGAACGTGAGGTCGCACTTCCCCATCTTCTGCTTGTACACCAGGTCGAACTTCTCGTTCATGGACACGGTGAAGATGTCTTTCCACAGCCCGACGCGCCCTGGAAGGCAAACGGGAAACCTGCTGAATGTGAGCGCTGTCGGCCGCCGCTGACCAGAGGAAGCCTTGGATGTGGATCCGGAAGGTTCCAGATCTATTCCTGGACCTTCCGAGCCTGGCCCAGGGGGCCAGGCCGTCTGCACTACAGAAGAGCCTGACCCGCTTCCCTGAGTCTTGTCCTTTCCTCGCTCAGTGGCCCAGCACCACAGGTGCAAGGAGCTGGGTGGAAAAGCCTCTGCCTGGGTCACTGCTGGGCCCCAGTACCCAGGCTCAGAGCTGTAGTCACTCCTGGACCCCAGCACCCAGGCTGAGCTATGGTCACTGCCAGGCCACAGCACCCAGGTTCAGAGCAGTGGTTCTCAACACCCGGAGCATGGGCGGGTCTGTGGACTGGATCCACCACCCTGGCACCACGGGGACCTGGGGCCTCCGTGACATCACTACTCACTCGTGGCTCAACAGCTCAAGGCAGCCCTCATTTCTGGAGAACGTGAAAAGGAAAAACATCACTCAAAAGGCACACGTGACGGCAGGAGGCCTTGAGTCAAGGAGGGAGATTTAGAGAAGCCTGCCGTGCAGCCTCGGGGAGGAAGGACACAGTCATGGTGTCAACTAGCTCTCCGTGTTCAGCAGCAAAAACTCCTGACTCAGCAGTCAGTCAGTCGGGGGCCACCCCAGCCTCGGCAGCGCTGCAGCACAGGGAGGCTGCTCGGCACAGGCGCGTTCACAGGAGCGCAGAGCCTGCAGGCGCGGGGCCGCCACCTGGACGCAGGCTTAGGAGAGCGAGCTCAGGAAGGCCCCAGAACTGCTGAGTATACCCACTTTCTTGGTAAATACAAAATCTGCAGTTGATATGGTCAAATATTAATGGTGCTCTGGCCAGTGTGGCTCAGTGGTTAGAGTCGGCCCACGCGCCGAAGGGTCGCAGGTTCAATTCCCAGTTAAGGGCACATACCTGGGTTGCAGGTTTGATGCTGGCCTCGGTCGGGGAATATGCATGAGGCAACCCATCGATATGTGTGTGTCTCTCTCTTTCTACCCCCCTTCCCTTCGTCCCTTCCACTCTCTAAAATTCAATGGAAAAAATATCCTTGAGGATTAACAAAAAATAAAAATAAATATTAAAGGTGACGGTGAAGATGCAAGGAGTGGAGATGCAGACCTCCCGGCTCTGTGAGCTGTGAACCGCCAGCCCGAGCACTGTCGCTGTGCTTTTCAGGAGGGACCTCGGGGGACTGACATGGTTGTTCAGAGCCATCAGCACCTCTGAGATCAAAGCTCTGAGGGTCTCCAGCAGACACCCCTCATTAGCCCCACTGATAACGGCTGGCATTGTCCTGGCAGGACCTTGGGTACAAAACTGCACCCCTGCAAATGCTGAGCTAATACATCCAACATGACAAGGATTTTCTCTTTGGTAATGAAAGTTGTATGTGAGTGTCAGAGAGGAAAAAACAAGAGATGCTGTTCCTGCCACCCGCTAATGATACCTAGGGGGAAAAATTAGAAGCTTCTAGAGCGACCACACAATAAATATATTTTTCCAAGATTGTTTCTCTCAGCTGAGAGCTCAGCAGAGGAGTCACCCACCTGGTTTAGGATTTGGAATCAACACAGTGCAATTTATGCTGTGACATGAACCAAACTTAAGCCGTGCAGCCGGCCACGCGGGCCCTGCACGCTCACCAGCACAAGGAGGTCTTCCGAGCAAAGAGGCAATGGGCTAAAAGGAAACAAAATCAAAACTGAAATAAAGCAGAACCAAGGCGGACATGACAAAGCAAACACGTGGGAGGAGCACGTGGGACCGGCGTGTTCGCCACACCGCCACGCCCTACGAACAAACCAAGGGGGGCGCCAGAGGGGCCACACCACGGGAACAGAACGGAGCAAAAGCAAAACTAAAGAGGAGCAAATGAGTTCTAAATCATAAACGTCTGTGAGGATGCAGCCGGGAAACAAATCGCAAGGCATCCTGGTGTCAGTTTTCTTCCCGGAAAACCTGCCGGCACCCTGCCGGCCCCGCGCCCTGACCTTGAGGACAGCCCGGGAGCACGGCAGCCGGCAGCCCTTCGCAGCGGAGCAGCCAGTCTGAGCGCGAGGCCTGACCTCAGGCACCGCCCAGGACCACGCAGCTGTGACGGGGGCCTTCTGCCGCCACCAGGTGTCTCCCTGCACATCCGAGCTGGTGCCTCTTCACCCTCCTCTCGTCACCCGAGAAAGCTCTAGGCTCACACCTCTGGGAACCAGCTTCGAGTCTACACCAGCTTCCTGGGTGTCAGAAGCGATTCATTCTCACCAAGAGGGTGGCTTCTGTGCCATGGCTACCCTCAAGACCCAGGGGACTCTACCTCCTGAGCTCCCCACAATCGAGCAGCCTCTGAGGACACAGAGAGCAGCCTAGGTGGGTCTAGAGAGGCCTCCTGCCTGGAGTATCTTCTCCATCTCAAGCTGCTCCATGCCCAAGAGACAGCTCCAGGAGGGAATGCCAGCCTCCTGCTGTGACGCTGGCGTGGCTATGTCCCCGGGAGGCCTGCACTTTCTGCTCTTACCCCTCTGCCCGGGCAGGGCTAGTCCTGATCTGTGCCACAGGCACCCATGGGCGAGTGCAGGAAACACTCTCACCCACCCACAAGGCAGCTGAAGGCTGGGGGATCCATCTGCATGCTGTGGGCTTGAGATTTCACAGCCCCAGACCCATCCTGGGTTCTGCTCTGTGGGGCCATCTGGGAGGACACCTGCTTGAAAATATCTTGTCCACAGAGCCCAGAGCATCCCCAGCACACACTCCTGTGAACTAAAACATCTTTCGCTCTGTTACAATGCAAGCAGCTGCGAGGTGAGGGGGGCCTCTCCCCTGCACCACGAAAGGTTCCAGCTTCCTGGTGACTTGCTCACCCCACCCAGAGCAGAGGGCCCTGGAGAAACGAAACAAGGGCAGTGGAACACTGATGTGAGGCGGGGGGAGAGAGGGGACCGGGCACCGGGCCCTGGGCCCCTGGACAGGAGCGGAGGAGGGGGCAGGAACAGGCAGGTGCGTACCCCGGCCCACGGGGAGGGCCTCGGCGTTGCAGCACTGGTCCACCAGCTGGTGGCAGTGCTCGATTAGGGACTCCAGCTGCGCCTTGTCACAGGACACCCCCAGGAACCTGGCCAGCTGCTCCACCATCGTCACCAGGTCCTGGAAGACAAGAGCAGAGAGCAGGGGACCTGTCAGAGGTGCTGCCGTCCCTGGTTACTGACCACTTACTCTGGCTGGACGTCTAGAAGGGCTGTGTGTGCACTGCCTCCTTGGTCCTGAGCCAAGACTGAGATGGGCCTTGTCTGGAACTAAAACCCTGAGGTTAGGAAATGGCTAGTCTGGCTCAGTGGTTAGTGTCAGCCCTTGGACTGAAGGGTCCTGGGTTCGATTTGAGCCAAGGGCATGTACCTCGGGTGCAGGCTTGTCTGGGGAGCATGCAGGAGGCAACCAGTCAATGTCTCTCTCCCCCATCGATGTTTCTCTCTCTTTCTCTCTCTCCCTTCCACTCTCTCTGAAAAACAAATGGAAAAAAATATCCTCAGGTGAGGATTTAAAAAAAAGCCAAAAAGAACAAACAAACAAAAAACCCAGGGTTAGGAAATGGCCCAGCGGCAGCCCTCAGGCTATGGCTCTGGGATTCACACCCAGGTCCTAGAGGTTGCGGGGGATCTGGAAGCAGACAGGAGCCTGGAAGCAGACAGGAGCCTGAGGCAGCTGTGGTCACTTTAAAACAGCAGCAAGAAATAAACCCCACCAGCTTACGCCTCCCTGTCCTGCCCGCCAGGCGCTGGAATCGAGGCTGGCGCTTGGGAGAGCAGACAGGACAGGCCCCGGGCTGCCCCTCACCAGGCAGGAGCCGGCTTGGTCTGAAGCCAGACCTGCTCACAGCTGTCCCCAGCGCTCCTGACTGCAGGAGCGTGACTGACCTAAGGGTCCTGGGGTGGCACCCCGCCTGCTAGCCATGCAGCCCCCCTTGGCCAGCACTCTCCCCTGCGTAATACAGCGGGTCCTCGAATTACAACATCCTGTGTTCAGTTTTGTTTTAATGTTGATGAGACACCATAGGAACTTTTTAAAATCTCAATCAGCTTGTGGCAAACTGGTTTCACTATAGGTCGTTTCACTTAAAGTCGCAGAACCCACGCGGACACTGAGGACTTCCTGTAAACAAGGCTTCCTGTGAGGGGAGGGGGTACAGATCCGGGCACACCCTGAAGCCTGGGTGGGTGGCTTGCAGACTCTTGTTAGTCCTGCCCCAGCGTCACTGGTGAGCAGGCTCCCTGCCCCAGCCCATGCTCCCCTGGCCGGCTCTGGGATCCGGGTTAGGAGCAGGCTCCCTGCCCCAGCCCATGCTCCCCTGGCTGGCTCTGGGATCTGGGTTAGGAGCTGCGACCCCCGCCCCCCGGGAGGCACTCACACTCACCCGGTGCATGTCTTCGTACTTGAGGAAAAGCACGTTGGCGTCCGTGCGGTGCTCCCAGAACTCCTGCACATGCTCAAACCAGGAGCCGTAGCCCACTGTGGAGAAGAGGGGACAGGTGAGTCACACGTCATAGAGAGGATGCGAGCACAGGGGTGGCTTTGCTTCCAGGAGGCTCCCCTCCTACCACCCAGGAGCTGTGATTCAGGAAGGAGAGACCAAGCTGTTGGCTTGGGGAGGTGGGGGGAACCCACGGACCAGTGTCCTCTGAAGACCCACACCACCTGCTCGCTCTGCAAGTCTCTCAGCTCCTCCCCTCCCCCACCTCTGGACACCCTGAAGACCTGGCATTGGGGTGAAGGCCTCTGCTCACCTGGGACACGGATGGTCCCTGGCACACATGGGATTCTATGTTTAACAAATGGTCACCGGGAAGAAAACGATGCCCAGAAAAACTGAGACACTGGGCAGCGGTTTGCTGGCGGGGGTGAGAGGGGGTGCAGGAGGCTAAGAGAAATCCCAGCGCAGGGCCTGGCCAGGAGTCACCGACTGCTACCCCTCCTGTCCACCAATGCCAGTCTGCCACCTTGCCAGCAGGTGGCAGCACAGCAGCAGCCTGACCCCACAGCCCAGGAGGGGTCCTGAGGGCCCCGGGTGTCAATCATGGGTCAGGGGTCGCTGAGGGGTGGCCCCAAGGAGCAGATCACAGCAGAAAGGCCCAGCTTCATGGGGACTGAGGCAGGGGCTCCGAAGGGGCGGGGCAAGCGGGCAGAGGGAATGGAAAGAACAGGGATGCAGCCGAAGGCCTTGATTGAGACCCATGGCCGAGTCAGTCCTGGCCCCTCTCCTGGCCCCTCACCACGGGGGTTCCAGATGCTGGGCCCGGGAGCCCAGGCCTCAGGACCCTTCCCACAGCCGCCTGGCCTGTCCCGCTCGCCCCTGCACACCAGGGGCGAACACACACAGGGCGGGCCTCAAGGGGCCACAGCCTCCTGCTTGAGGAGGCGAGGGACAGTCCAGAAAAGAGAGCTACAGCCACCTCGCCACCCGGCTAATGACCGTCAGCCCGAGAGGAGAACCTGAGTCCAGACCGTGGGTCGGGGCCCTGGCAGAGCAGAAGCCACGGCCACGAATATGGAGCATAAGAAAATCCCTTTCATCCCAGAGAAAATGCACAAAACAGACAACTGATGACCATGGGGTCTGACGCGGAGCTGGACGGGAGGGGCGGCTCGGGACCCTGAGGGCGTGAGGACGGCGGTCACTGCACCTGAGCCCTGGCCGGCAGCTGCAGAGAGGAGGGGGCCTCACTGGCGGGGCCGGTGCTTCTCACACTCGGCTGCACCACCCTGGGAAGGGAGCTCCCCGAGGGCACCCCCTGCTTCTCTCCAGGCTCCCTCTGCCCTGAGGTCAACGTGCTTATCCATGTGAAATACTGGGAGAGCTCACTTGGCCCCTCCAGCAGCGACCCTGCCCTCAGGGTGCGGCTCCTCCACAGAGCTCCTGTCACCTAGGCATGTGGCACGTGGCACGTGGCACGTGGCCCCAGGCACCGCCCCCAGAGGACCTGGGTTACAGCCTCCAAAGGCTGGTTCTGTCCGTGGGTCCTCTGATCTTGCTCTGAGTTAACAGTGTCATTTCATTCCCTCCCCAACTTTTATTCAATTTTTTCAGAACCTTGGACAGAGAAGAGCACGCAGGGGGCCTCCTTCTGGCCCAGATGGGAGCCCGGCTGGGAACACAGACTAAAGGGATTAATTTGTGGGGCTACGGGGAGCGTCCATGGCCTTGAGCTTCAGTGGGCAGGCCTGCTTTGGGATGACTTTTAAACGCTCTGGCCCGAGCGGAAGCTTCACGCCCCACACCACCTGGCGATGTGAACCTGCTGGACACTGTTAGTCATGGCTGCATCTGCAGAGGCAGGGTGTGTGCTGGGGCCTAAAGACATGGCTTTGGGAACCGCGAGAGCAACTTGTCCCGAGTGTGTGGCAGACCATGAGGGGCCTAAGCCAGACAGTGGGCAGGCTGGGCGAAGGGAAGCCGGACAGAGGGCCTCTAGCAGGCTCTGGGGCCGCAGGGTGCAGGGGCTGTGGCGTCCCCCCCATGGCCCGCTGCCCTCCCTTCCCCAGGCCAGCTGAACAGAGTGGTTCCAGGCCTGCGGACACTGGCCACCCGAGCTGCCGTGCACACGGGAGGGTTTGCCCGTCGAGGCTGGGGAGGCAGCTCCAGCTCGGCTGCCCCGAGTTCCTAGATGCGCACAACACGCTGGGTCCCGACCTCATCACACGCTCTCCCGGCAGCAGCCCGGGCCGCGCTGCACGGCGGGCGAGGCTGAGCACTACTCGAGCTGGGAGGTAAACGGAGTGCACGCCCTGGCTGGCGTTTCGGTGGTTAGAGCGCCGGCCGTGCCCCGAAGAGTCTTGGGTTCGATTCCCAGCCAAGGGCACAAACCTGGGGCACGTGCGGGAGGCAACCAATCAAAGTGTGTCTCTCACATCGATGTTTCCCCCTCTCTCTCTCTCTCTCTTTCTCTCTCTCCCCTTCCTCCCAATCCTTCTACTCTCTCTAAAAACCAATGGGAAAGAGATATCCTCAGGTAAGGATTTACCGAAAATATACATATATATATAGGAAGTGTATTTTCAGACTTGGGTATGAAAATACACTTCATATGTGTGTGTGTGTGTGTGTGTATATATATGTATATATATATAGTCTTGGTGCAGATTTAACTTAAGTATGGATATGACCCACTTCAAAGCCCTTCTGGGTGCAAACTGCCCACTTGCGGTCCAGGAAGGGGACCAGGAGAAGCCGTGGTTGGCACTTGGGGAGCCACCCTGGGTGAGGGGAACAGAACCGCAGTGAGGATCTGCTGACCCACTGCCAGGGGGACGGCCTCCTCTCTGGCCCCCAAGCAGTAGGTGTGACCTCGCCTACTTCTCCCACGGGGAGGGGACATATGGAAGGGCCCTGGGATGCTCAGCCCCAGGTCCCTGCTCCCTGGGAACGAGCTTCCTGCACAGAGCACTGCCTTCCCCTCCCCAGTCCTGAGTCACACTGGCCTGGGGCTGGGGGCTGAGCCTGCCTGACCCTCAAGTCCAGCCACAGGGCTCTCCCATGAAACCACAGTAACGGAGACATCTGGGCCTCCGTGTCATTGTTTAGCATCCCGGCAGGAAGGGAGATGCTTTAAACTGGGGAGCTTCTCAGAACCCCAACATGGCGAGAGAAGGGCTTCTGAGGACGACACCCACTCTGCATGAGCCACAACCTCAGGCGGGCTTCCTGCTGCCCCTCAGCCCTGGCTTGGCTGTCTAAGCGGGGAAGCAGGCCCGGTGCGCGGTGATGGTCGGACCCGGGGAACGCGGGCCCAGCAGCAGCCCACGCCGGGGTTCACTGACCACAGGGCATCACCGCCGGATGTCCCTGCGCCAACACACTTACACTTGTCGTTCATGAACCGCCGGCAGAACTCCTGGAACGTGCCCCGGTAGCTCATGGTGCGCAGGGAGCGGTGGAACTGGTAATAGGACACCACCAGGTCCTTGGGGTTCCGTGCCATGTAGATGACCTGCGGGAGAGTGGAGGGCAGGAAGGAGGGACAGACGCGATGGGTCAGCCACTGCTCCCCCGCCCAGGTGGCACCCTGTGTTCAGACCACACCCCTCTCCTGGTTCCAGCTCCGAGGCCAGTCCCACCCACACGCCCCGTGGCAGACGGGTTTCGCTGTCACTGTCCCGGTAGAGATGCGCTCAACGGGCAGAGGCTGGACTCGGGTCGGTCAAGTCCAAGTTCAACCAGAAGAAGAAAAATCCGGATCAGACACAGGAATAAGTTGCTAGAGATAAGAGCTGTGCCAAGGGTGGATGCCCGGTACCAGGGCCTCACTCCACCTGGGTCCTCCGGGAGCAACGAGGGTGACGGACCCGCGAGGTCGTGGCGCGGGGAATTACCTTGGAGTCGCCGTTGTGGAGATCGGAGGGCAGGAAGCGGTAGGGGAGGTGGCTCTTGATGAGGCGGGGAGATGTCAGTTCCTGCAGCAGGGTCAGGGGAGAGGCGGTCAGAGGACCCCAGGTCTCAGGGCCTTTCCAGTGGGAGCTGGCTGGGGACGTCTGACTGTCAGGACCAGCACTGCACCTGACAAACTTCTCGCCTGAGACAGGACCACCCTCCGGGCTGAACCTCGGGCCAGAGGTGAGCAAGATTCGGCCTGTCCTCAGGCACCCACCGCCGGAGTCAGCCTGTCCTAGTCCCGGGGGTAGGCCTAGAGGGCCAGGACCGGCCATGAAGGACCGTGGGGGAGGCACGAGGCACGAGGGGCTGCTGGATCCCCCAACCATCCGCACCCAGGCCTTCCTGCGGCTCCCAGACGATGGCCTCTGGGCAGGCCCCCTCGCCAGCAAGTGAGCTCTGTGAGCGCTGTGACTGCTGCCTGCTGGGTTCTCGGCCACATCCCGATGCCAAGAGCAGGGCCGGCCCTTGGTGGCCGCCCACCGCAGTCCCGTGGACGGGCTAAGTGGGTAAGTCGGCACAGGCAGAGTCCATGTGGCCACACACGAGTGTGGCGAGCAGCCCGGCGGACACTAGAGGTGGCTCCAGAGACCAGCTCGCATAGGACCCTAGACTTCATAGAGTGGTGACGTGGGATGCTCAGCTAGTGGGACGGGACAGGTGGTCCACATGGAAACGAGGTCTGAACTACAGAGATGGCAGAGGGGAGAGGTGCAGAGAAAATTCCAGATACACCGGAGAGGAAGAATGGACGGGACTTTGGGATGTTTGTTTCATTCTTCACACCACATATATGAGGCAAATGCATCCTGCCCAGCTCCTGCCACAGACGGGGTAGACCACAAGGAGGGGAGGTGCGGTGAGGCCCCTCACCCCCACTTCCTCCTGGCCCCACTCCCAGCGTCTGCCTTCCCTTGTCACCCACCAATCTGATGCCAGGGTCACCATCACGGGCTCAGGCCTGTCTCCCTCCTGGCTACCTGGGGTACCAGCAGCTCTCTGCTCTTCCTTTGCTCACAGGGCCCCCCTGAGCCCCCCAGAAGGAACGGTCACTCGGGGCGTAAGGGCAGAAACGCCCCCCGGGGCCCCGGGCTGGGCGCCGCCCGCGCAGAGGACCTTGATGATGTCCAGGCCGGGCTGCGGGTACTCCAGGACTGGCAGCTGCTCGTCGATGTTCATCAGGCCGATCTCATCGGGGTCGGCGCCCTGGCTCACCAGGTAGACCACCTCTTGCAGCAAGCTCGTGCCTGCAGGGAAGAGGCCCCACCCCAGTGAGGGGCGCTCAGAGGAGCCCGAGGGTCGGCCCCCCTTTCGGGTCAGCACCTGCATCCAAGGGGGCTGAGAGACCATGCAGGCGGGGGTCCCAGGAGCGCCCCGCCTCTAGTGGAAGGGCACTGGCCTTGGGTTCCCCTGCAGTGACTGTGGGTGACCTGGCTTTCCGAGCTCCCATTTTCTTAGCGCTAAATGGGGACAGGAGACGTTCTCAGGGTCATCATGAGAAATGGACAGGACACGCGGTGCCTGCTGCCCTCCCCCCAGGGGTCAAGGACTGTAGTGAGTAGATGACTGTCTGTCCTGAGGCTTTCAGCAGCTCAGTCTTTCATCTACCCAGTAGCGCTGAGGGTCCAGCGGAATGACCTGCCGACCAATTAATCACTTACAATGAAAACCACGTCTGCCCAGTACCCAGCTACATACAGGTGTGCCCTGTGATCCGAGAACCCTCCTCGGTACACACCCGAGACACACCTACAGAGGCCTCTGAGGGCCGCTCTCATCCACAGAGCTCCTGCTGGCCTCCCTGCTGTTTGCATCAGCTGGTCCTCTGCCTGAAGCCCTCTCCTCCCTCCCTCAGGTCCTTCCGGAGGGAGGGCTCCCTGACCAGCCACATAACTATCACTCCGGCCCTTCGCCCTGCCATGCCCCCCACTGCGCCAAAAGTCCAGGAATGACTTGCACAATCCTTTATTCTAAATGCGCAGACAGACCCTGGGTGCTGAGCAATCAGAGAGGGATATGTTCATCAAGGAAGACTTCCTGGAGGAGGCAGCTTTGGAACAAAAGCCCTGAAGGAAGAAAGTGGTGCGGCGGCTCTTCAAACAGAAAGGACTTCTGTCCATTAGCCATTGGAGCCTCCCCCAACCTGACAGGTGAGGACCACCCATCACTCCATTAACAGATGAGGCCCCAGGGCCCAAGGACCCTAAATGGGCCCAAGGTCACAGAGCTGGTGTGTGGACCCATCTTGTTCCTCCTCGTGAGGCGCATCCACCCAGCAGCCCAGGGCGGCTACACTGGGGGGTCCGTGTCCTCAGAAACAGACTGTGGGCAGAGTTCCTGAAATGGCCTCTCCCACGGCCATCTTCAGGGCCTATTTTTAGCGCTCCCTACCACATCCCTGCAGCCCCCACAGGCAATGACCCAAACTGACCTTTCTCTGCACATTAACATCGATTTCCATCAATATCGACTCATCAATTCCGAAGCCCCATCCTCGCTGCCATCAAGTATCTGTGCAGGAAGGCTGGCCTCGTGAGAGCCAGAAGCAGCTCTCCTCCTGCCGGGCCCACCAACCTGTCCCCAGTGTCCTTGCTCCAGCTCCTCCAAGTCCAGTTCCTAGCTGAGCAACGCTTGGCTTACCTTCTCCAGCCTTCAGTGGGCTCAACAGGACACACTGCACACCTGCCAGGCCCCAGCCGTGCTCAGGTCCCACCCACCCAGGTAGCACCCCTGGACATTAGCACGAGCCCCATTCGGCCCCTCCATCCACTCTCCTGGCTGCCACAGCCACCAAACACCCCGGGGGGCCATGCCCCAGTGGCTCTCGTGGCCTAGGGATGCAGCCCTGCTCCACCCCAGTCTTCTCTCTCCACCCTGCTCCCGCACTCTGTGCCGAGGCCGGGTCTGCTATGTCCCCAGAGCTCAGCACCCCCGGGGCCCAAGCCTTCAGCAGGCTACCCTTCCACCTGGACAGCTTGGGCTCGAGCTTTTTTTTTTTAATTTGTGTTTGTTAATCCTTGCCTGAGGATATTTTTTCCATTGCTCTTCAGAGAGTAGAAGGGAGAGGGAGGGGAAGAAAGGAGAGAGAGCCAGAGCGAGGGGGAGAGACATGGACTGGTTGCTACTGGCTGCCTCCTGCCCGCATCCCAACCGGGCGGGGGGCGAGCCCACAACCCAGGTACGTGCCCCTGACCAGGACTGAACCTGCGACGCTTCGGCGCGCAGGCTGATGCTCCCGCCACCGAGCCACATGGGCCAGGGCCAGCTACTGTGCTTCCAATCCCCACGAGTTCCCTCGCCACCTTCCCACTCCTTTCCGGTCGCCGCTCTCTCGTGACAGCACGCCTGTCTCCCCTCTCCGAGGACGTTTCGCAGAGTCAGGGCTGCTTTGCGTTTTTAGGTTTTCTTCTGCTCTGTACACTGTCTCTCACTCTTCCAAGCTCCTTCTTCTGCTGTTTGTTTTGTTTGTGCAGGTTATCTGTCCTTGACGTTGGCGGCTTTAAGACCCAGTGACCCTGAGTCGGTCCCCAGGTGAAGGGAATGGCTGGACGCAGCAGGCTGCAGCCGTCCAGGGTGGGCCAGGCTCGCTGAGGTGCGGGGCCTTGAGTGTCTGGGAGAGCAGCCCACCCGGAGCTCTCACGGTGAGATGGGAGGTGCCCTGTGCAAATACTCACGGTCCCTTCTTTACATCCGGAGAAGATGCCTCCACTCCTTACCCTGCAGAACCACAGCACCCTGGGAGCCAAGTAGGGGAAGGGGCTGGGAACCTCCCTTTCAAGGGCATAGCTTTCACGTGATCCCCATTTCCCATATGGTACCATATCCCCAAATAGCTGTGCTCGACATCCCCAAATCCACAGCCTCTCTGGATCGGCTTCCCCAAAGAAACCTGTCACTGCAACAGCCTGCCGTCTTTAATCGGCCCCCATCACAGCAGCCACCCTCTGGATGCCAGGCGCTTCCCGCCCCCGGAGCCCTGCAGCTGGAACTGGTCCACGCGCCCGCCGCCCGCCCCCTCTGCTGGCACGCACGCTCCCTGCCTGCTAAGCCAGTTAACGTTCAGCCACCACATCTGATCTCCCAACGCTCGGCTGGCATCTCCAATCTACAGTCTCCGCCTCTCCTGCTCTTAGGGGTCTGGAGCTTTCCACTCCTTGACTGGCACGTAATGAAGTTTTTAGAGGAAGCAGAGAGGAGCATGTGTCCAATCCGCCCCACCCAGTCAAATGGGCCCCACCGGCATGCCGGAGTCACAGGACGCCAACCCGTCACAGCCAGGGCCTGGCCCGCTCCCTCGGAAACAGCAACAGCTGAGCATTTGAAGCTGGACCTACAGAGCTGGCCCAGATGATCCGGGGCCCCAGGGCCCCTCACTGGGTGGGACTTGCTCTCCCAACAGACACTGAGAAGGCGTCCCGCACAGGAAAGAGCAGAGGTGATCCACCTCCCATGAAGCACCTGCCCCATCTGGGAGGTTTCACATACGCTGTTAAGACATCTTTCAAGATCATCTCTTGACTATCTCTCAAAATAACCCCCAAGATGCGCACGAGGACATGGACCTTAGAGGACAGGTGTCGTCCACACATGTGGCTGAAAATGGATGGCGAGCTATGGCGAGAAGCCCAGAACAGCTCACACACAGGTGCCCGGTAGTCACCCCGATGACAGCCAAGTACAGCGCTCAGCGTCCCAGGCACTGACCCGGGAACTCACGTAGCCAGTGCCTCACTGATGCTCACCAGCCCCAGGTGGCTCCTGTCGCTGCATCTCACACACGAAGAGGCAGGCTCCGTGGTGAACCACCCGAGGCCACACATCGGTGGGCCACGAACCCACAACCCAAAGTTTTGACTCTGGAACTGGGATGTTTTAACATATACCTGACCTTCATGGGAAGCTGCACAGCCTCCACCAGGGTGCAGGAGCTGGGAGAAGCACAGCTCCCACACTCACAAGGGAAGGCCACGAAATTGCAGATCCTTGTTGGACTCACGGCCAGCAGAGAGTCTGAAGCCACGAGACAGCAAGCAGCTGCCATCCCTGGGAGATGGGCCCTGCCAGAGGGAGACAGGGCCCAGAAGGAGAAGTCAGGCACCAAGCACATGAGAAAGAGGAATTCAGGTAGAATTTTCATAAATTGCAATGACTGTGGGCTTGCAGAGCCGACATGGGAGCGAGCTGCACTGAACACTTCTCTGTGGACCCACACAGGCGCCCATGAGAAACGTGGCAGGAGCGCCCTGGCCGCAGGACAACAATAAAGCCCGGCCAGGCCCATCATCCTCAGTAGAAAATACTTTAAGCCACTGGAGGGGGGAGCAAACCTGTCCCCCTCCCAACCCCTTTGCACTGGGGAAGACCCAACATAGCTGGAAAATGGGTGAAAGGAAAAAAACTGTCCTTGAGAGACAGACAGAAAACCATCCCTGGGCTCTGTCAGAGACCCCCCAAACACTGGAAGAGGGACGTGAAACTCTTTCCGGCACAAGACCCACCATCGAGGCAGAGCTGGTGGGTGGGACCACTCAGAAAGCCTCACTTAAGGGGTGACTGGGTCGGATGACAGGCCATCCCTGTCAGAGCTCCTCCTCTCCAAACTGGAGCAACAAGTAATTGTAGGCCAACCTGGAGGAGGGACAGCGGTGTGGGGAGAAACCCCTTTATGGCTCAAACCAAAAGCTGAAGGTGGGGCAGGAACACCAAGGAAGGAGCCTCTGGAAACTCAGGCTCCATGCTAAGCACAAGGTGAAGCTACAGGAATTAAAACCAGTGGTCGCTCCAGCAATCAGAGCAACAACAGAACCCAAATGCAGCCCAACTCCCACCAGACTGACTCACCTCCCACACTAAAGGCCTGGCAAGAAAAGACGGGCCCGATTCCAAGCATAAATATGACTGACCTCCATCTCTGATGTTAGCACACCATGTCCAGCATTCAATCAAAAAGTACCATTTTAAAAGGCAAGGAAAAAAAATTAGCCCACTGTCAAGAGACAAAACAATCCACAGAATCAGACTCAGAATTTAAAATAAATCTGATTAACATGTTAAAGGATTTCATGGAAAATGTGAACAACATGCATGAACATGTGGGATATTTCAGCAGAGAGGTGGAAACTAGAAGTCAAAATGCTAGAGAGAAAAATAAAATCCCAGTAACAGAAATACAGAATGCTTTTAACAGACTCACAGACCTGACCTCACGGACCTGACACAGAAGAAGAAAGAATCAGTTAACCTGAAGACTGGTCAACAGAAACTGGAATTGGAAACGGAATCTCAAAAGAAGAGAGAAACCAGGACAGAAGATATATTTGAAGAGAGAATGGCTGAGAGCTTTTCCAAAATAATGAAAGGCATCAAACCACAGATCCAAGAAATTCAGAAAAGCCCCAGCAAGGTAAGTATCCCCACCCTGAAAAAAAATACACCTAGACATATCATATTAACTAAGTGCCGAAAATCAAAGATAAAGAGGAAATCGTAAAGGCGGCCAGAGGGAAAAGACCCATTCCACAGAGCACCGAAGAATTACAGCAACTTTTCATCAGGTCATACACAAGACAGAAGACACTTTGAGCTTGCCAGACATCTGCTGCAAGGAGGAACCCTCATTCATTCCTTCACTGAGCCTCACAGCCACCCACCCATCAAGGCAGGGAGGTGGTCTCTCCTGCCCCTGCAGAAACC